TGCTATTTACATGCACTTTTTCTGTGTCCCTAGAGAACTCTAGCAGCTGTTCTGTCTTCTGCCATGTCCATGGAGTCTTTCTAGAAACCTAGTGATGGATCTGATTACAGCTATTCAAAGAAAAAGCTTTCCATACAGATTTGTGACAGCTAGATAGGGAGAAATAAGGGAGAGGGACTTTTCCAGCCATATGAGATCTAGTATCTGTCAAAACAACTATATCAGAATACAACCTGGAACAATGAATGTGACAGCAGTCAGACTAAAATGAATTCCCAGATGGTTTCTTCAAGTTGTCCTCCTGCTGCCGTATATCGTCAGCATGTTCATTCTTTTCATCGCTTTACCAGTTCCTTTCAAAATAGTTCAGGTTGGTTTTGCCCCATCCCAAACCTCTTTCCATGTAGATATGGTGGCAAGGTGACTCATGGTCAGGTCAACTCACTTCTCTTGATTTCCCTGTATGTAAACTAGGGATGAAGACATGCACCTTCTTCAAAAGGGCCTCTGAGATGTGCTGATGACAAGTACTGTACAAGAATCTATATTTTTGGTTACAGCTGTAATGCTATGTGAATGATCTTGCCATATATATGTGCACATATAAATGTCAAAATATTTATAGTACTTAGCTCAGAAGAACTGAAGTAGCAGATGAATGCCACCAGTTTTAGTCCTAATCGACTTTGAACACAAGATTCAAAATAGGCCTGTGGGTATTCTCACTCTCACCTGTGGGACTACGTGCTTTCTTTGGGCTGGTGTATTTGGCACTGAGGGATCTGGGTATTTGGTAAGTCCTTCTTTTGACACTTCCAAGTCCAAAAATATTTCATGTCCGACTTTAAGAACTTTCCTACATACATGTGGGAGAAGGGTGTTCTGAAATACAGCACATCAGATATAATGCCCTAAAGAAAGTCTCAAAGCATGGCACTCCAGTGGCATAATGTTTCCCTAGGAAAGATCTGTTGCACATCTGGTATCTGTGTCATGCAATGTGAATTTATTATGGCAAACCTGAACATTTATGGACTGTGGGAGTGTTAAGTGATATAGTTAAAAAGAAAAATCAGACAGAAAGCATTCCAAAGCTCAACAGAGATTTAAGTCACACCCCCTTTTTTTTTCCTTTTTAATCATCTTTTATTACTAACAGCCCTTCAATTACTTTATTTTAAAGAAATTATAGCAAACGTAGTTTATGGATTTTTTTTGGCAAATGTGTTTGCCAGCATTTTTCTCTTTGCTTGTTTTACCTTTTCTCCAGTTCTCTAATCACTTTCTTATTTGTTTGCATAAGTCTCCATGCAGCAACAGAGGAAAGGTTTTTTGATTTTCTTTTTTTTTGTTTTTTAATAGGAAAATAGCCTATGAATTCCATCATGTTTTCGGGCTGTACATATTGGCTGGAGAATCTGAGGCAGCAAAATAGCCTGGTTCTACTTACAACTTAAGTGCCTCAGCTGTGAAAGACTTAAAAGCGTGGTACCATGCTCTACTTTTGAGGCCAAAATGGATCAATATGGCCTCTTAGTCTGAACTTAAAACACAGGTTGTATTTTTGCATTGACACCTACTGTTCTGTAGATGACACCCAAACCTATCCTTATGCCATATAGTATTAACGGTTATCAGAGCCAGCATTATCCCTTGTTCAGTATCGATATTGCAGTGTGACACTGCTGTATTTAACCTATTTGCATGAAGGATTGCTGTTTTAAGCTAAATAAATATCTACAATGTGTACAATTTTTAAAGAAACTGTTTATTTCTAAGGAGGTCACTGCCAACTTTGCACTAGCTGTTCATTCAACAGTACAATACAATGAGGTTATTCTCACTGAACATTTTTCTGTCTCTATTGAATACTTTCTTCTGGATGTGTTTTGTTCTGTTAATGATCCCAAATTTTATGTCCTCTTCATTTCATTTTACAAGCAGATGTTTTTTTGTAGGGATGATCATCTTGGAGATGGCTACCTATAGCTCATTTTGAAGCCTAAATGGCTTCAGTTAACCAGAAGTGACTAGCAGATTTTTTTCCCTCTTAGGACTCTGCATGTATTTCGGAGTCTGGGAGCCAGGTCAGAGAGCTGATGAGAATCTTTCAATGTGGACTTTGACCTTAGGGGTCTGATCAGTGACCATGGCTGAAATACAAGCTAGGAACAGCTTTGAAACAGCTGCCAGTGCAGCACTGGCCTGGCCTGAACAACCTGTGGGTATCTGTAATGGTTGCTAATACATGGATGAATCTGTTATTTGTTCTGAATGGCTTTTACCCTGTGTTCACATAAAGCTGGACTCTCAGCTCTCCTCTTCCACTGAGCCTGGCTCAACAGCACAGAGATGCTATTGCTTTCTAGGTCAGTCTTTATGGGACTTTTATATGAATTATGGAATAGTTTTGTGAGGCCACAACTGTGATTACAGGTTTAATGATGCTTTAAACAAACAAAAATGTAATGACTTTCATCAGTGTAAAACAGGGGCTTCCTGCAGGGAAACACCAATAAATGTGACTTCACGGCAGGGATATGGACCTGGCTGGCAGCCAGCAGTAATCAGCACACCACGTAGACCTTGGGTGTTAACTTAATTATCTCACAGTGCAAGCAGCAGCTAGACGGTTTGCTGTGAGGAATCGCTGTCTGCAAGGCACAAAGTCCATGCATTTAAAAGTTACCCATCTGATCCACGACCTTAGGTAGCAAGAGGCTGGGACTTTCATAGCAATCTCTTACTGACTTCAAAATCATTTTAAAGTAAGGCAGCATCTTCCCTGTGAGTGTTAGATTGGTGTGTGGAATAGATATTTGTGGTTATGTGGGTATTAGTGTGACTACTGGGATTCTCTGTAATTTGGTAGTGATAACGAGCATCATCCTGAGTCAGAATCCCATGTGCTTTACACTCAGGGGAAAAAAATAGCTGCTCTTCCAGAGAGCTCTTAGTTTGAAGGATACTGATTGTGACCCCGTGCTACACGCTCTAGGTGTCCCTGCTTGAGCAGGTGGGTTGGGTTAGATGACCTCTAGAGGTCCCTTCCAAATTCAACCATTCTGTAATATTGAAGCAAGTATGTCCAGAAGGTTTAAAAAAAAAAAAAAAAGACATCTGGTAGTTACATTCAGATAGCTAGAAACTTTCTGTAGGGAAGATCCTGTCAGGCAGGAGATTTTTTTTTACCTGTGACCATGTCAGTACAACAGCCTTAGTACTGAACTCTCCTAAGGAGCTACTTCATGAGCATTGCACATGAAGTGCTATGGAGCAATGCAGGATATGGGCAGGATATGGAGCAGTTCTCCTCATTCTTCCGTAGAAACGTGTGAGATAGGACTCTGTAGAACATCTGTAGAACAGTCCTGCAAGTATCAGCCCACTAAAGCTGAATCCTGAGGTGGTTCTTCAGCAGTCTGTATGTGGTAGATGAAACAAACTATTAACTTAGCAGTTGCTCAGTGCTTCAGCTGTAAGCATGGACCTTCTGGAGGTGCTTTATGTCTCTGGTCAGGCCAAAAATATCACAAGAGCAAATGCTTTGCTTCAAGTCTCTTCGGGACCTTGAAACTCATAGATGTCTGGGAGAAAGGGAGAACTAACCCAGCCTTTTCAAAGATGGAAGCTTGTCTTTAAGTTTAACACGTGATTTGGGGAAGTAATATGATAATAAATATTCTAGGTGTGACTTTGTTCTTACTTGCATTGTATTAGTTTGGCACCTGAGTGTTTCTGTTGAGTTTAATGATATTTCTGCAAACCTTTTCAAAAAGAAGGCTCAGAGAGGAGTTGCTAGATGAATTTCTCTGGTTTGTGTTGTGTAAAGGTCTTGATTATGTGAAAGTTGTCACCATAAGTCTGTAAAAATGTGAGTTTCATGAAGTAGGTAAGAGGAAAACCAAATCATTTTATTTCCCTATCCCCTGAATTTAAGGATCCCATCACACTGGGCCTTTGTTCATAATCTCAGCCTGTGTAATGGTGAGGTTAGAATTATAGTCCCTGTTTTATGGTTGGAGAAGTAGAAGTCCTGAGCAATTGCACATCTTGCCGAAGATCATATGACAGGCTGTTGGCAGCATGTGGAGTGGCTCGTAATCTCTTGACAGCAATTCATCAGCGTCTTGGACTTCCACAGAGACCCTTTTCCTGAGAAGCTCATTCAAATAAAATAGCAAATGGAGTATGGCTATTACATTGGTTCGCTGTCCTGAGAGTCTGATGTGTTCCAGAAGGAACAGTGGCCAGACAGCCCTGCCAGACAGCTTAGGGAGACCTGCATTTCCAGAGCTATCTGAGTAGCACTGGGGTTTACACCATCTCCATGCTGTGTAGTGGAGCAGAAACGGTCTGCGTGACTCTCTGCTTTGGAATAGCTCTGCAAGCTTTCATGAGCCGGCACGGAGCCAGACATCTCTGCACCACGTTCCCATTAAGCAGTGTATTTACACTCCTGTTGCCAGTGAACTTACCCCAAATCTGAAAGATGGTTTTAGAAACCATCCTGTTGATTTCCTGTGTGTAGAAAGGGAACTCTGACCACTGCTTTGTGTGTACTTTCTGTTAATTAACACAGCAAGGGACAGGAGTATAGATACAAACTCTGGATACTGGCCTCAGTTTGGGGTATCAACAAAAGATAATTGTCTTCTATGCTACCGGTGGTACCATGTAATTCTCTTCTAAAAGAAGGAGTATTAGAATCTCATTTACTGTTCTCTTTCTCCTTTGGAGCAATTACACTGATGTTTTTTGTTTAAGGTCATAGATATGTTTATCTGACTGATATAAATGTGCAAATTGCTGTCAGGTGTTTTTTTTGACCAAGAGATTGCCTTACCACTGAGCTGTCTGCAGCCTGACAGCTCACAGACCCAGACCATATTACCCAATTATCCACGTGAAAGGATAGAGTAACTAATGCGTATTTCTGTCCTCACAGAGCTTACTCTTGCTGCATCTGGTATTTGTACATGCTCTCATGTTTCTTCTAGGGATTTGTGTCGTGTATGGAAAGGTACCGAAGAAGTGGGCAGGAACTGTATGCTTCGTTGTACAAGAATCATGTACAGGTAAAGAACAGGAATGCTATGTGACAGGTCTGTTTTAGAGTGTCCTTTTGCACTGCCTCAAGAGATCAGATATTTCAAATGTGAGATGAACAAAATGCTGGTAATGGGTGCAGTGAGAATTCTTGGCCCAATAAAGGTAAAAACTAGTAAGATAGTACTCATTGTTGGCCTCACCACTGAAATGTGATGTACTTGTGAGTATTATTCACAAATTGTATTGTAGATCTTCATTTTATTTTTGAAGTTTTGTTTGCTTTTTAATAAATTACTTTTACAGTGGTGGATCCACCCCCCCCCCCCCCCCGTAAAATTTCTCAAGCGGACTCAAGCTCATAGGCTGTAAAATCTCACATGTACATTTCTGTTTCAAAATTAGCCATCAGGGACCAACAAGTTTTTCATTCCTTGAGATACTTAATTCTCTTCCCTTTGGATTGGCACTTTAAGGACCTTCTCTCTTCCGGGTAGACAGTGCTTTCAGTGAACGTTTGTTGTTATTTGGCTTTCCAGGTGAACCTCTTAAGTTGCAAGTCTAGTGAAAAAAGTCTTTTTCAAGGAGGTGTGCAGGAGTGACACAAAGTTGTTCTGTCCCACAGATGCTACAGTGTGGTTACAGCAAAGCAGCCAAGGACTGGGTGATACTTGAGGAACAGCTCTTCTACAGAAGGGGTCCACAGGGGGATGCATCACAGTCCTCAGAACCACGATGGATCCTTGACTTGTATGAAGGACCTGCACGAATGAGGAGGAGGATTCAGCATGCAAGCTCTGGAGCAGCAATGAGACAAATGAGAAATGAGGTAGGAAGCATTTGCAGGAGGTGCACAAATCTGCAATTTTTGCCAGTGACTTTAGAACATTCTCCTCCTTCTTCTCATCATCAGATCCTCAGTATGCTGCTCCATGTGTGGGGAATCAAGGAATTTGGTGGGGTTGTGATTTTTATCCTGGAACTGATTCATTCAGGGTCCTCTTCGAGAAAAATAGTGGTCACTTGCCTCTTGCTCAACTGTTGACATTTATTCGTACATTTAATTGTTATTTTGGTCCTTTCAAATGTATTTGACTCTCCAATGCATTTATTTGCAATATAGTTCTAAATCTGTAGGGTAGTCTGTAGAAAGGTTTTACCTGTCTGTGTATTTCAGATTGGTCATATCTATTCTATTTTTCAGATCCTAATAGTAAACAGAAATGAATCATCCCTCGCTGTTGAAGAAAATCAAGGTAAAAATTTAAGGCTAAATTTCGTGATAGAAGAGGGTGGACATATAGAGCCAAGAGAGTTGGAAGTAGCAGATGGAGCTCTGGGTCAGAATTTAGGCTAGAGAAAAAAACTTGTATCAGCTTTCTGGTTTATAAGGTCACTTGAAGATTTTTGGACAAGAGCGATGTAATTGTTCAGATGATATGTCAACCGACTTCAGAATTTTTCTCTCATGTTGCCACTGGAAAGTTCTGGAAGCAAAAAAAACCACCACAATACAGTGTTACACTGGGCATATGGAAAGTTGTTAATCTGCAGGATAAAGAATAGACTCCCCACTTGTGGGTGCCTTGAATTCTACCTTTAAAACACTGTTTAAAACCAGGTGGTTAACTCAGGGAAATCATAATAGGAAGTGTTGACCTTTCAAGAATGTGGGTAAAAGTGCAGAGTGGAAAGAAAGCAAATTAACGTATTACATTATTTTTCAGGGCTGAAAGTAGAAGCATTTTTCAAAATACGATCGTTATGTCAACATTTTTCATTTTCCAAGGCCAGGTTTTTTATTACATGAGATATTAAAAGAATGAAAGAAGACTTGAAATGTGAAATGTGGTAGAAAAAGGAAATATTTGTGTTCAGTAAGTGTCAGTCAAGTCTCAGGCTGTTTCAGCCACCATTATGGCTCTTCCAAGTGAAGCTCCTCATGTGCTCTGGAGTACATGCTGTATCCTTTTTATTGTGGTGTGTTCTAGGAACTGAGAATCCTTTGTCAAGAGTCCTTTGTTCTAGGCTCTGTGCAAAACCAAACACTGTGTAATCTTCCCATCCAAGTGCTTGCAGTATACATCAAAGGCAAAAGAGAAAATTGATCATGGTTGCACTGTATGTTTGTCTGTACAGCACCTCATATATCTGCAAAAGTTGGAGCACAGCTTGGGCAAGTTATCAGTGGATTCTCTCCTTGTTTTTTTTTAAAGTTCTACTTATTCTATGTTCCCAAAAGACAAACGTTTTCAGTTATTCCTAATTTTGCCAGAATGTTTTGAACAGCATCTTTTCTAGTTATTTGAATATTATCTAATTGGACCAATATAGTGCAAAATTGGAAATAAATTCATTTGGTCTATGTGTGAATCTTCAGTAATTATAAGAATCTGATTTAAATTATGACTGTGCGCATAGACCTCTTTTTAGTTCCCTAAACTAAATATCTTTCTGTAGCAGTCACGGATTTTACTTCTTTCTTGCCTGGATTTTGCAGATAAATAATGCTGTTTCCCAAGATAGAACAGATTGAGTGAAAGTCTAGATTGCAAATGCTTTTGGTGTCATCCAGCTGCCACTAAAACTGTGATCCCTTTTCTGTTGATATAGGAGAGCTGACGTTAAATGGAGCAGAAAGGGAGATGGATGAGAAGGGAATCGATTGTAACCAGCTAACGTTCTTCCCTGCCCTGCATGAAAGTTTTCATTCAGAAGACTTCCTGGAGCTGTGCATGGAGAGACAGATTATATTGCAGGAGTTTGCAGACAGTGAAAAGGTACTAAGATGAGCTGGAGAACTGTCTTTGGGGAGATAGCGTTTTAGAGGGAGAGTTGGATGTGGAGGCCTGTCTGTCCAGTTTACATTTTGGGTCAAGTGGTTATAACACTAACTCTTTGAGGCAACTTCAGAAGTCTTGGGCACATGTCCAGGGGATTTTATTACTTGAAAAATAGTATCCTTGGGTTTTGCTTAAGCCATGGCAAATTCTGAAAACCTGAGCTTTCTACACTGCTTCGTTACAAAAGCAGCCTGGATTCAGTTGATTTATCTCTGGAAGGGTGTTAGAGTTTGAATAGGTGCTAATTCAGCGACATTTAATATGTTTTCATGGTGAATGCCACTGTTTTCTTTCTCTTTTCTCATGCCCTGTTCTTCTCCAGCTCCCCATGAGTAGTGGACAGACTCTAAAACCACAGAGACCTTCCTGCATCCTTTTCATCTAAAAATAACTTCCATAGTATCTCCTCTAGTCAAAACAGTGCTGGTACTTCCTTGCTCTTGTACTGGACTTGGATATACACTTGATGTTGGATATACACTGCACGTAGCTGTTTTCCCCTGGGGTCTTGGGAGGTGGTCGTGAAGAGCAGACCTGGCCTTATTCTGTGATCTTTTGGAATGTACCTTTTTCTTCCAGTGACCTCCTTGTGCCTGTTGGCCCAAGAATCAGTATCCTATGACAGAAGCCAAGGCTTAGATTTGAAGCATATGAATTTGGCTATTATAGTGTTTTGACTGCATGTAGATATAGAAATAGATATTTTATTTTGACATCTCAATATCACTGCCAAATTTTCTTGTCATTTTGCCAGTCCAGGAATCCTATTCTTCTCATGTATGATATTTTTCTCATGCTATTAGAGCTGTTGGTACTATGTATGTCTACACAACCTAATTCATTCCCGATACTCCTCCTTTCATACCTTTCCATCAGAGACACATGCATGGCTATGAGGCATGTTTTCTGCATGCTGATCTCATTTTGGGCCTTCAGGCTGTCTGTCTTTTCTCCATGTAACTCCACAGGAAGCCATCAAAAATGCTAGGCATGTTTTTTTTCCAGCAGCAGTCACCATGTTGCTGGGCTGACAGAAGTATTAAAAAAAGCAGTAGGGGGTGACATTAGCTGTCCTGCGCTCACTTAGCGCGCTGCGGTCCTGCCTTGCAAACGGCCGCCTCGTGAGCTATTTGCACTTTAACCAGGCAACTGGAACCATCTTACCTAGTGCCCTGCACTGAGAAGCCATCGCGGCGCTTTGGCAGCTGCCAGATTGATTTCTGGAACACAGGGACAGCCCTTGTCTGGAAAGTGGTTGTTGCTGTATAATGTCACCCAGTACTCTTTTTTTTCATTACCATTAAATAGGCATTTCTGCACATACTTAGATATGTGAGATGGCTTTGTGTAGAGGTTATCAGATTGAATGTTGGGGACATTTTCTGTAGGCTCAGTGTCCATTTCCGGCAAGTTAAATCAGGAGAACATGGGTGTAGGTGAGAGATTTTCCTGTTAATATCATCTGATCATTTCTTTAACCTTGCAGAATAGTGTGTAAAACCTTTCTAGGCATTCGTGTGAAATATCTGCTCTCATGCCCCTCACCTGTGCCTGCATAGTCCTGTGGTTTTAGGCTATCCATCCCATTATCCTCACATATGTAGTGAATTTACGGAATTCCCAGTCTTATCCTGTTTTCTTTTCTCATAAAATTTTAGTCTTTCCTTTGAAGACACCCTATTCCAGATGTAGTGTAATTTCCAGCTGTTCAAGTCTTGGTCCCGTTCTTTACCTGTTTCTTTACCTACTCTGCAGCAGTTTCCCCTAGTCTTCCATCAGCTTTTAATGATCTACTAGTCCCAGATCCAAAATGTAGTGCTGGTGAAATGTAAAATATATAGGGTCATTGTTGTGTTTTGGCTATGGTTGTACATTTTTTTTTTTAATAAAAGGTGGATAATAAGAGGGGAACCATAGGCACAGAGAGAGGTTATGTGCATGTGATAGAGTGATGTTACACAACATGTGTTTCTGCAGAATTGTGCAACAGAAATGCAAATACAAACCTGTCTTGACCTAATCTATCATCTTGCCAACCAAAAGCCAAGTCCAACCCTTTAAATAACCCTGGATTATCAGCAGAGACAGGGAAATTGGATTCCTGTGTCTTTAACCTGAGACCTCAACTGTGAGACTTCTTCTGTAATCTTCACCAACCTAAAGTATTCCTGCCAAGTTGTTGCTGTGCAGTTAGCATGTTACAGATGGAGAAGGTGCGGGAGGCCTGGGGAGTGATTTTTGGTGTAGAAATTGCAAATTTTGAAGAAGAGCAAGGCGCTGCCTGCCAGCAAGTCATTTGAGATGGTAAGAAATCCAAGCAGCTGGGGTAATGAATCTAAAGTTAACAAGGGGGCATGGGCTAGCAGAAATCTGGGCACAATGCCTTTCCTTAAAGGAGGAGCCAGGGAGAGCACAGGAGATGCCAAGGACAATAATAGCATAAATCAGTTAGGGAGTGGGATGCATGGCTGGAGGAAGGCTGCTCATTGAGGAACAGGTACAACCAAAGGAGGGAGCTGCTCTAAAGTTCTGCATCTGGGACAGGTGGAGCTGCCCAATTCTGCACCTGCTTGGCAGAGCCGGTGTTTTTAGGGGCATTGTACATATACCTATGTATGTATACAGCAGCACAGGACACAGGCAGAGTGTTTGCACAGGAGCGCTATTACAGTTTAGCCCAATGTAAGCATTGGGGATACAGCAGCAAAGAACTTAAAGTGCTGAAGCGCAGCAGGCACAGGGACTATCTGTTGTGATCAAAGCAGAGGATATGAAGGGCACTGACCTTCATACCTGCATTGAGGCAGGGTTTCTTCCCTTCTCTGTGCCTCAGTTTTCTCTTCTTGTCCATGCTGCATGACCTGGGACTGTAAGAGCTGCCCCACTGTAGGAATAAGCACTGCTGAGCATTGATGCTTGTTTGCAATGTGCTTCCAGACTGGAACACCCAAAGGAGGCAGGGCACTGCCGATTTCTGCTGTGACATGCCTTGTCTGGGTGCTCTGCTGCTGGGAGCCCCTTCCCCAGCACCACCATCACAGCACAGTGAGCAACTAGGTAGGTGCCAAGGGCAGGGTCATGCTGCAAGTGTCATGTAAAACCCAGAGCACCTTCAGCCGGTCTCTGCTTTCCTGGATGCGCTCTCTTCACCACGGCACCTAGTGCTCTAAATACCTGTGTCCCCTTGTCCCTCTCCCCTCCCCCAGCTGTTGCTGCCATTTCTTTGATGTCCACCTTGATGAGGAACAACTTTAACCTTTAAGGCAGTAGCTGCTATTTGCACCTCTGCAGAGCTCCTCCTGCTCTCTGTGGCCCTGTCTGCCACCTCTAGTTAGCACAGCTGATCCCCGAACTGTCCCTTTCTGCAAAGCAATGCAGTGGGCAGGAGCAAGCAAACTTTGCTGTAGTTACTCCTGAGAGTCATGGGAGCTGTGGGAAGGGCATGAACTTGAGTGAACTGACCTAAGGGGAGATTTAAAGGCTCACATTAGTTTTTGGCAGCATTTTCTGTTTGAGAGGAGCCTGGAGTGAGACAGAGACGTCTGGGTGTGCAAGAGGTATGAGCGCAGTCCTATTAGAACTGGCTTCCAGATGCTATCATCAGCTAAGGGATGCCAGCCTCTCAGGCTGGCGATGGGCCGGGACAGATGGCAGCTTCCAGCATGGAAAGCAAGGACAAAGAGTCCCTGTGCCCGTGGCCATGTACAAGGCAGAAACCTTCTTCCAAGTCTCTGATATTCTTTCCCTGCAGCCTTTGCAGAATTTTAAAACATGACATTCGAGCATTGAAGGAACACATCCTGCTCTGGTAGGTGCCGTGAGGGGAAGAGGGTGAAGGAGACCTACTGACTACTTGCCAAAAATAAATAAATAATAAAAAGCATTTTAGAACTTTCAAAAAAGATTTATGACTTCAGACCTTGTCCCTGTTTATGTGGTGATTGCATCGGTTTCATTCAAGTCCCAGCAAAAGAAATCTGAACTGAGGTTTGTGACAACTCAGGCATGACCAAACTTGACCTTAGAGCCCCTACCACTAAAGACTAGGTCAAGCAGATTTAATTTCCTTTGGTCATTGAGCAGCTGGGGAGGATGAAGCAACCTGTCATGTATTCTTAAGTGGTGATTAATGAGACGCATGTGCCGCAGTTTCAAAGTAAGCTGACTCTTTAACAACAAGTAAACTAGCAGACATCCCAGGAAGGCCTTGAGCAACATGGAGGCGTGGGCCTGTATGCTTCTCTCTTACACTGATAACATATATCTGTTTCCCTAACAGCATGTGAAAGCAACATGTTTTGTTTCACATGTTTGGAGTCATTTTAAGGTCTGTGGCCCTAAATGACATTGGCCTAATTTGATTGATAGGGCCTCTGTACCTGGTGCAATCTGGGATTCCCTGGTACACAACAAAGAGTAGAAAATGTAGGACTACAGGTTTCGTCTTTGTGATGCCCGATGTGGCATTATCTGAACATCTTGCTTTTATGAATACCATATAGTGTTTCTGTAGCTTTTGTTTTCTGAGCAAGTGACTGTGAGTGATTATGGAAATCCATGATGTGGCAGCAAGGAGGAAGAAGGGACTTGAATTCAGGAAGTCCCTAAGCCACTGATCTCTGAGCAGGTACATTTAAAGGTAAAAATCACTCCGTCTGTAGCATGTTTCTTATATTCTTTCCTTAAGCTTTTGTTGCTGAGATGCAGGATAGCTGTTAGACAGACATATGAATGAACCTGGAATAACCATTCATGTGTTCTCATTCTGTAAAATGCGGTGCTTGGGAGGATGTGTGACTGGGGGAAGAGTGGTCTGGTGACATGGTTTTGTGATTTTTTTTTTTTTGCGCTGTATTTTTACTTGGAGGAACCCTATTATGCTGCTGGAATTGGTAGGAATATATGGCTAACATCAGTTGTTTTTGAAAATTCTGCAAGAGTTGTTTGTATCTTTGAACATGCAATTCCTTTGGAAACCTGGCTGCTGAATTCCAGTGTGGGTATGATTTTATGAGCGGTCATTTAAATGCAACCAGATGCAGTTAAAAACAGCTATTCTCAAAAACAAGGAAAGGAGAAAAAAAATGCAAAAGGTAAGCCTGTAGCCTTAATTCCTTCATCCATTTGAGTGAACACAGCAATCAAGAGAAGCAGGGCTTTAGGCAATACCTTAGAAGGTAATTATTCAATTATTTTCTGTCACCTTTGCATCATTGATTAATGATTCTAGTAGCTGATGGACTGAATTCTGTCCTGTTTCAACAGAAAAGGAAAGTTTTTATTTAATCTATGGTAATTTCAGGCTGACTCGTGTTTCAGATCAAGACCCTGTAGGTACAAGACTGTCCTGGTGGAGGTTCTGTAATACACCTCTTTGTCAGATCTGTATTAGTCACCTGCAATAAAACGAAGCCTCTACTCCAAATGGGAAGACCTGGCTCAGCCCATGGGCTCTGGTGTTTCTAACAGTGCAGACATTTAATTCTGTTGGGGGAGATGATATGAAATGAAGAAATGGATTTGGCACTGTTTACTGATACTGGAGTGCAGGAGGCAGCATATTTGGGCTTAGGGTTTAAGGTTTGAGAAGGAGGTAGGTGCTTTTTCTCGTTCCTCCAACCCCCTTCTGTTTTGCAGGTCCATTAGTCTGTCCCAGTCCTGCCCTAAATGCAGTCCCAAAGTCCTCACTTGTCCCAAACCATGCTAATGGTCACCAGCAGGCCCCCTTGACAATCTGTGTGCCTCAGACACATTCAGATGATCTCTGGCATGTCTAGTTTAAATTTCTCATGTGGGCAGTGTTTCCAGTACAACCTGAAACTGTGGTGTTGCCGTGTTCCTGCTGTGCTCAGGCTCTCAGGCTCATCTGCATGCCTTCCATCTTGTATGTTGTGCAACCACCTTTACCCAGGATAAAGCTTCAGGAATTGTAAGATTTGACTCCTGTTGCCAACTGCAAGGTATCTAGACTATCAGCTGCAATTCTTCTGGGTGGCATTTAACCTCTGTCATGATATTGGGCTCTGCCCACGTCTTCCCTGTCTGCCTGTTCTGCTCCCAGCCCTGATAACCTTTATTGTGTGGTGTGTTTTCTTGTCTGTCCTGTCCTTCTGTCTGCCTTGACGCCCCAGTGTGCCACTGAACAAAATAATAGCAATAATGATAAAGAAAATGCCACCAGAGTTAAAGGGCTAAATTGTGTAAACTGTGCTCTCATACAGAAGAGGATTTCCAAAGGTAACTTTTTTAGGAGGTCTGGATCTCAACCTTCTGTGTCTGTTTAGCTATTTTACACAGCTGCCTGATGCTTCAACATTCAGTTACCTTCCATTTGGGAAGAAGGGATCTTTTTGCTATTTAATTACCTCAGGAAGCCCTGTGGTTTGCTAATGTGAGCAGAATCCCTCAGTATTCTCAGTGCAAGCATAGATGTGTCTAACCACATAATGGTGTGTAGGCACTCAAGTTCTGAGAGTCCTGTGGTTGGCGTGTCCCTGCAGAGACATCCATTCCCATGGGATCTGCAGGAACTTGATTGAAAAATGCTAGCTTTCTCTTAGGAAAAAAATGGAGTAAAAAAGGGAGGAGAGGGGAGAGATTTTCTTCTTTTTCAGAGACTTTTTAATATTCACTATGAAACCATCCTTCTGTTTCCACCCCATCTACTGCAACTGGATTAAAAAATGTGGAAAGGAGTGCTTAATTTGTAACTGTGGGAACAATATTTATTTCAATTATTTATAAATACATTTAATATTTATGTCAATTTTAAATATTGATAAAAATAATAATTGTCCTTCTGAATTCCCATTTCATACAGTTTTCACTCTGGATTGAATCTAAAAAACAAAAAACACAGTAATAGCTTCACCAAGGTATGCTGATATCCAAGACTGGAAACTTGCAGAGCTGTGTGGCTCTTTCAGCTGACCTGTCAGCCTGTGGACGTTTGGGGGTAGAGGCAAGGGAGATTGTGGGTTTGTTTTTAGAAATAAAGTAGGAATGAAGGCAGAGAGCAAAGTAGACGCAGGCAGGTTCAGGAGAACCAGACCTGCCCTTAGTAACCTTGTCACAGTAAGATGGAAACTTCATGTGCTTTACCAGAACCAGTGCTGTCTCTGGGACCACTCTTGCATTTGCCCAGGACAATAGAGGTCTCCTGCTCTTGGAAAACTTAGCAGAGGATGGTGAAAATCACTGAGTTCTCTAGAGAATAATAGACTTCATGATACTTTGCATACTGGTCTCTGTTTTGCCCAGAACTTTGGTCAAGATTTCTGAACAATCAAACTTCTCCCATCGTGTAAGCATCTCTCAGATCAAGTCCCTTTGCATGATCCTTCTCTTGTCCTTACAATTTAGAATGGACTCAGACTGCAAAATTTTACATTCACATCAGGCATTTTAGGAATGTTGTGATTTTCAAGGAGGATCTTGGCAGCAAGCAATTTTGTTAGTATGTGAAATACTATTTTAATGTTTTGGAATGTTAATATCCTGTGTTAGTATGAATGTTTGAAGGGATTTTTGCAAAGAGAACGTGTGTGTTCCATCTCAGGCTGGGCCAGCAGGCTGGTGACTGGCTCTGCCCCCTCCCTGGGTATATGGAAGAGGTTGGTGTAAAGTCCTGGTCCAGAGGGTGACAGCAGTAAATTAACCTCAGTCCTCCTGAATGAATGCTCTAACCACTGGAGTGTTTGCTCTTTCAGAGCCAAGTATACAAGGACAATAGAATAAATAGACAGGAGAAGTTAGTATCTTCATGGCTCTAGATGCTAAGATAGCTCTTCTCAAATAATTCCTGTTTGAATTTAAAATTCAAATTTGTGCTTTAGTTTTCCACAGCCCAGACAAGTGTCCAAGTCAATGGCCTCTTCTAATCTCTGCATCAGTCTGTTTCTCTCCTGTCCCATGTTCCAGCCACCAAAACTGTTTCAGATTAAAGGTTTTCTTTTCTTTATCAAAAGTGGTCAGTTCCCAAGAGCGCTTTTTGTGAACTGCCATATACAACTGAAGAATTTTTGTTGAAAAAAAAAAATCCCAAGATGTTTTACTTTAAGGTTAGAAATTCCTCTAGTTTATGGGCCAAGTTGATTGGCTCAGGAGGAAGAAAAAAAAATACATGAGACTTAGCCTCAGTCTTAGGACACCAGAGGGAGTTTTTCAGCTATTCCGCAATGTTTAGCCAAGTCTTTTAAGACTCATGGATTTTGACTGGCCTCCTTTATGATACAGGAAGGCGAAATGCTGATGCAAGGAGCATTGTGTTGCTGAGCTTTCAAACCTTTGTGTGCCGAGATTTCCATCCACTGTGTGCTAAACCAGCTGGACATGGGGAAATAAATACCTGGAGTATTGGGTCCTTTCCTTGTTCTTTACTCACCAGAGTCCTTCTGCAAGATGTTTTTTCAAGATTTCACTGGAATCTAGATGAAAGTAATTGCCTTTTCTCTGCATTCTGAACATATATATATGCATACACAGGCACGCATACACATGTTTGTGTGTGTGCATTTGTTATAACAGGATGTATAACTGCAGCTTGCCATGTGCAACTGCTTCCTTTTTAGTGAACTGAGTGTGTGGCTGCTCAGTTGTTGTGTCAGAGGCCCCACTGGTATTTGGCAGGATTATGTGAAGCTCCACTGAAAGTGCTGATCCCAGGTGTGAGATACTGAGAAACTTGCCCAGTTACTGGCTGCTGAACTAACTAGGGATTTGTACAAAGGCTTTAATCACTAGATGGCTACTTGGAGCCTCCTTTTTGTCCCAGCAACATTTCTACTGGGTGTCTGAGCATGGTGCTTCTGTTTGTGCATCCGCCAGTGTTACCCACTTAAAAGTCATTACCATCCAAATCCTGTACGGAGGCAAGCATTCAATAGCAGAGGTTCCTCCTCTTCCTTTAAGGATGATGCAACCTGACAAAATGGTATGGGAAATGCTGTGCAGATGTACTGCTTTTGTATCTACCACGATGAAATATAAAGACTTGCCATTGTAAGGTGCTTTTGCTAATGATAAGATGATATGATACAAGTAGTTGCAATTAGCATCCCATGAGAGATGAGATTTATTCCATGGGATGCCCCTGGTTTTCCTCATGATCCTGCGTAAGTTGCTGCTTTCCTCAGTGCTTCAACACCCTGCCTGCATAGTAGGGGTCCCACTTGGCAGTTTTACAGGGTTCTGTAATACTTTCAGGCTCCTTGGTTTCGTGGTGGTGGTGTTTAATACAGCCCTGGATAGATAAGGAAGGGAGAGATTTTCTGGGGGGAAGGGTACTCCTGCTACCATTGCATCATGCACTGCTGCTACATGGTTATTTTGGACTGCCTCCCTATAGAGCTGCCAGTTGAGATGGCAGCTGGTTCCGTACAAAACATAGATCCTTCTGGATCATTGAGTCTTGTTCCCTGTTATCCACCTGTGTTACCTACTTATGATTTCAATATTTTTGGTTCCATACTAGATCACATTCAAATGCTCCATGGCAATTGTGCAGGGGCACACAGCATTGGAAGGAGTGCTGCTCTTTGGCAAAGCACACTTTTACATCTGTGAGTGCTTTGTGTTATCCCCACTGGAAGAGGTCTACTGTGCACGGCACTGCTTGTCCAGGTGAGTTTTTCTTTCCTCATGGGGCTTTGCTTTGGTATTGGCAGATGCAACCTTAGGAGTTGCACATACTTTGGGACATATCAAGATGGATATTAGCACAGCAAGAAAACTGCACTCCTTCCCATCTGTCTGCAGAATTGTTTAGTGTAATCAACTGCAGGTGCCTGCCCAGGCCTGTGGTGGGGCAATAAGGACTGTCAGCTCCAAGAGATGGAGATGGTGGGTTCAGTCTAACACATGCATATGTCGATTTTTTTTTTTTGCCAATTCTTTTAAAGTGTTAATGTTTTTTTCTGACTAACTCCCATCTTTTATTCATATGGAACAGTCATTACAAGAGCCTTCAGGATCATTGGCTGATAAGTTCTTGTTTGTTTCTCCAAGATATAGAGAATCATAATTAATATTTGGCACACTGGTATCATCTTTATGACTCATGATTTATTGATACTGATCAATATCGAAAATGGGCCTGTCAGACTTAGCTCTTTGCTCATACTGTGTGTTCATGTGCAAAGCCCAGTGGGACAATGAGTAACTCAGTGTTTTTACTCCTGACTGTCTGTTCTGCATCCGATTCTTTCTAAATCCAATATCAGTCAGTTTGATCAGATGACATAAGAATCAATTGGACTGGGAGTGGTGGTGGTTCTAAGGGACTTGCTTACTGCTGTAGACTTGGCTGTAGATAGCACTAGAAGTACATACTGACCTAAAGTAGAAATTAATTCCTACATTATTAGCTAGTTAACTATTCAACCTTGGAGTTCTCTTAGTGTTCTTATTGTTCTTTGGAAAGTTGTGAAAGATTTGTTTGTTCATGAGGGTTCTCTGGTCTTTATTTTCAACCTTCTCCATTTTTCTTTTGATTTTTTCCTGTTCCAGCATCAGTGATCCATTCATTTTCAACTTATGCCATAAAGATCATGCTTTGGGAGACCAGAGGTGTTCCCGTTATTCATATGATGACATAAAAGAGATTCACCTGATGCGCTTTCTTCTGCAGGTAGGAACTAGTCTGCTCCGTCATTTGAGTGAAAGCTGCAACTGCAGTCAAGACATGACTGAGAAATACTTGCACAATTTCTACTTAGGCTGCTGAGATTTCTTTGCTCATGTCCCAGAACAGTTTTGTTCCCATCACTGCTTCATTAGCCTTCAGTAATACAAACTCCTTCCTATATTCATCAGAGTGCTTAAGCACCCTCTCTGGAGTGGTTGGCTCATTAGTTGTTAGGCTGATTATGTTCTTCAGAGTTTATCTCAATATTTTTAAAAATAAGTCTTCAAGCCACTTTCCTATGTTTTGATCAAAGCTCTCAGCAGGTGTTTAGTTTCCAGTTATCCTCAGATCCCAGCAGATATAGGTATTTTTAACCAATTTACTCTGAGCCTTTTGAAATAACTTTCAGGTTAAGTCGATTGTGTACATGTAAGTCAAATGTGAGTCACTTGTGAATCATAAGTTTGAGCAGAAAATTTGAGTCCTGTTCTGTGATACCCCAAACCAGTGGCCTTGAACATACTTAGTTTTGTCTGGTTTAGACAGTCCTGGGATGAGAATCATGTAAGTGTTATAGCTGGAGCTCCCTGCTGCATCAGAGCCTGTACTTCTAGAGCATTTAGGTATGTGCTAAAAAACAACTTGTTGATTTTGTTTGACAGTAGTATGGACTTTTTTAAACAGGCATAACTTTGACCTGTTCAGTAGAATCTATTTTTGGAAGAATGGGTTTCAACAGAGAATTTAAAAAATCATTTCAAAATTCAGAAGATGAAAAATATAATGCTGATAATGGTCTTGTGATGTGATGTTGTATAGTAGTCATTTGCACTCTTCCCTATTTTACTTTATTTGTGTGTACAGAATGGGCAGTTTTAGTAATAAGCCTTTTTTTCAGAATACAGTATGTCCTAGTGGTTGGGGCAATCTGCAAGTGTTAGGCTCACTTCCTGCAGAGAGCGCTTGGTGGACTCCTCACAGTTGCTACAAAAGCCCTGAAGAATTGGGCAGATAGTGATGGTCTCCTTGCAGCACCAGGTTTTGCTCTGCAGATCATCTTGCTGTAATTTTTTTACCTTTCTAGGAAATTGCCTTGGAAATATTCTTCAAAGATGGCTACTCCAAGTTTCTTGTCTTTCATGACAGCGACAGAAATAAGATATTTAAGAGGTAATTGCTACTTTTTAGTATCAAGGGAGCACCCAGGTTGTGCTGCTGATCAGCTACCCCTGCTTATCCTGGCTTCAGAGGTCTAACTTGTACTGCCTTGGGGGCAGGAGAACACTTTGCTTTTTTTATTGTTGTTATTTTTTCAACTCAACTGACAGATCAAGCAGTCACAGCCTTGTGTGTCAAATCGAGATCTAATTCAAGAAAGAAACTGAGGCAATGGGCACTTTCTGAACATTAAATATCTGTTTTTGTTGTCTTGCACCTTTGCCTTGGGTCAGAATCTCAGTTTTTGAAATGTTTTGTGGATGACAAGTTGACCATGAGACAGTAGCGTGCCCTTGTGGCCAAGAAGGCAGATTGGATTTTGGGCTGCATTAAGAAGAGCATCTCCAGCAGGTCGAGGGAGGTGATCCTGGCCCTCTACTCAGCCCTGGTGAGGCCACATCTGTGTCCAGTTCTGGGCTCCACAGTACAAGAGGGATGTGGAGCTGCTGGAGAGAGTCCAGCGCAGGGCCACAAGGATGATCAGGGGCCTGGAACATCTGCCCTATGAGGAGAGGCTGAGGGAGCTGGGCCTGTTCAGCCTGGAGAAGAGAAGGCTGAGAGGGGATCTGATCAGAGTCTATAAGTACCTCAAGGGAGGCAGGGAAGAGGATGGTGCTGGTCTCTTTTCAGTGGTGGCCACTGAGAGAACTAGAGGTAATGGCCACAAACTGAAACACCCAAAGTTCCACAGGAACTTAAGGAAAAATTTTTTAACAATGTGAGTGACAGAGCATTGAAACAGGCTGCCCAGAGAGGTTGTGGAGTCTCCTTCTCTGGAGATCTTCAAAACTCGCTTGGATGCAGTTCTGTGCCATATGCTCTAGGTGACCCTGCGTGTGCAGGGGGGTTGGACTAGATGATCTCTGGAGGTCCCTTCCAACCTTAACAATTCTATGATTCTATGATCTAGTGTCAATCAGGATGGAGGTTGTTGTAAGGACGTTTAAATGTGTGTGTGTATATATGTAAATGATTATATAAAATGTGGTGTGTAATAGTACAGAATATCTGCTTAAATTATGGTAATGTTTTGTTTTATATTTCCTTCAGATTTTGTTCTTTCCAACCTAATTTGAAGTCCAAAGGCATAACAGAAGAGTCCCTGAATATAAGGTAAAACATGGGAAATGGAAGTCTGTAGATAACACCTATAACTGTTGAATGACTTGTATGAATAACTTGTACTTTTAAAAAAAAGCTCCTAAAAACTCTACCTATTCGTACCTCCTATTTTAAAGATTGAAAGGTATCCCCAAAACTCTGAAAAGCATTCTAGTGTGTAGTGGCTTTGGTATGGAGACATGAGGAATATGTTATGTAGCTGACTGTGCATAGTTGATTGATTATTACCTTCTTAATATGACTTTATTGGTAAACTCTATATAGATGGTTAGTGTGGGAAAGAGGCTAGAGAGCTAATCCTTAATGCTTCTGTGTAATGGTCTCTTTAGTGTGTGGTTAGGATAGACAGTGACAGAGGTGCATGTGGATGTTTTGGCACTTCTTATAGCACCTGTGCAGTGGAGATTCCAACTTGTTGTCCTACACATTCACCACTGCAGGAAAAGCAAGTTTTCTTGCAGAAGTGGGACTTGTTTCAGAGCTTGGTCTAATACTGACCATGGGTTACTTGTATAACCTGTAACTCTTTCAAGTTGTTGTTCTGAGAAATGTAGCCCTAAGTACCTAACCAGTATGTTCAGTATTTGAGTGATGTGTTTCCCTTTACCAAGCTCCACTCTGGGGTCTGAAGGACTGAGAACTCGATGAATTTATTTTGTCCCTGGTTGCATGCTGGATCTACTTCTGAATCAGAATTCATGGGCAGCACAAGGGATTGCTTTCCAGTCTAAGGAGCAATGTCTGACTCCCCTAAGTCTTCCTGCTGAGCCAAGATTTGTCTTTGCCCAGACATGCCACTGATGATTACAAAGCTGAGATATGGAAAGAGGAAATGATCAGGGTAGCCTGTGATATTGAAATAGTAGCATTTCTGGGAAATCCCATATCAGTTTTCCCTCTTTCTCATTGGGAATAAAGTACAGGAATTCTGACTTCCAGTCTCTACTGTAGCTATTTAAAAATGATAACAGGCTATTACTGGACTAGTGAGTGCTTCGCCCCTGGCATTTTGTTCTTCATTTAAACATACTTACATGTCTGCCACCACCATATGTTGCTGCGGCCGCAACCAGCACTTGTGTAATGCTTGACTGCTTTGATAATATGCTCACTGCTTGCATCTGTATATTGTCTCTGAGCTGGCAGCACTTGGTGTGTGATTTGAGCAAGTGAATGTGTGCACTCAGGTGCATGCATATGAGTCGAGAGCTAAAATTACTGTGTGGACAGCAGACTTGATATCGTCAGTTCACCAGATGACATTTGGGTCTTGGAAAAAAGTGATCAGGAATGGGAAGCCTAGGTGACACGCTCAGGAACTTTCAAAAGAACAGTTTTTTTTCCCTACTTCCCTCCCTTCTTGAAGGGAGATTCAGAAGCAGGGAAAATGCAGCCAGGGCAAGTAGCGGTCCGGTTGTGCTGTGCACTTCAGATAACACTGCATCCGGCCACAGTGGTACTGTGTGTTCCCCTGAGTCCCTTATAACTAGCATCTGCAGAGTCTGGCCCCGTGATAGCAACCAGCATAAGCTGTTCAGCTTTGCACATTGCAACTGTATTGCTTAGTTATTCTGGTGCCAGACAGCCCTGCTTGAGAGTGCATTCAGTGGCTGCTGCCTCTGAATTAGAACTGACTCCTGGTTACTGTGCTAGGGGCACCTATTTGAGATTCTCTGAGCCAGTCCTGAAGGTCCAGTCCTTTTCCTCCAAAAGGTATTCACTGAGACTAGTTTTGTTGTTTCTCACGCTATGAAAATAAATTACTAATGTGTGGGGCTCAGTGCTTGCAGTGGAGTTAGTGTTTAAAAAAATAAACAAACTTTGTGAAAATAAATAAATAAACTTTGTGAACATTTCACTAAACATACATTGAACACTCACTGTATTTCTTGCTGTATTTCTTAGTCACACCTACACCAAACCTGAGACTAAGAAAACCACAAAAAGTGTTGTAGGAACGGGCCTGGATGCTAGGAAATAGTCCTTCTGATGAATTCTTTCCCAAGTATACATCTGTTTCAGTTGTTTTGGATTTAGTTTTAGAGACCATGCAGATCTGCAGCTCCTAAAACTGAGCAAGTCTATAAAGGATGAGAACTGCAGGAAAATGGAAGCAGGAGGAGGACAGATGTTTATTAACTTGGGCTGGATTTTATGGTGCAGCTCTGTGGAGTGCCTTGGTAAATACCAGGCATGTTTGCGTCTTATCTCCATTGTTCTTGGTTCTCCTTTGCAGTGGAATTGGGTGTAAGGAGGGAAGGGAAATTGGGCTTCTTCGAGGAGCTGGGTATTGTGTTTTTTAGCTTGTTCAGCTTGTCTCTTTCATCCTGACACATCTTCAGGCAGGAACAGCACAGGTCTTTCTCTTGCACTAAGTAAAGAGTTTCTGTGCGTTTTATGGAGTCAACAGGCTCTTCTTGTTGTGTTGGATCGGGAAAAGGATTTCTCTTTACGTTCAGTTTCTTGAGCTTGGGGAGCTTTGCCACGCTGTTTGGAATGGCAGTCAAGAAGTTGTCAAAGAGACTTACTTCCTTAAGTTCCTTCAGGGCCCCGAGGGTGGTGGGGATGTTGTCAAGACGGTTCAAGCCAAGGTTAAGAGTGCGCAAGTTCTTGAGGAGGTTCAGTTCCACTGGCAGATTTTTGGTGGTCAGCTTGTTGTTACTTAGGTTCAGGTAGACAAGGTTTTGGAGCATACCTATTCCCTCAGGCAGCTCCTCGAGCTGGTTACTGTGCAGGTCCAGCCAGCGCAGTTTCTGGAACTTCTGGATGCTATCTGGGATTTTTTTTAACATGTTTCTGCTCAAGTCCAGCTCATCCACATCATCTAGTTTCAGAATGCACTTGGGGAAGGTGGTGATACCCATCTTGCTTAAGTCAAGACGGCGCCTTCCATCGAAAGTGATCCTGATGGAGTTTTTGGCAGTTTTCAAAGTGATCCTTTTCCCTTTTTGGCCTTTTCCTTTCCCCTTGGCCATTTCTCTACTGAGAGAGATGAGCCAAATTCTGTGGATGGAGCCTTTGAAAGCAGTGGCTGTTTCCCCCTAATTCAAACAAAACAACGATTTAGTCAGAAATGAGCAAGTGACTTCTGGAGAAGTCTTTCCCTTTTTCTGGATCGCACTTTCCAGCACTGTAACTGCAACTCTTCTTGGAAGTGTTGTGAATTACTGAAATTATGATGCTCTGTAATGCAAGTGTTATATGCAGTAAAATAATAGTGTGTTGCAGTGCAGTGCAAGTATTAAAAGGTAAAATTGCAAGTATCACAAGTGGGAAAATTTTTCTCTCATCTCTAGATACTGGTTTGAGCCCAGCATGTAATGAAGCTAATCATCCATTAGCTGTTTGAGGACCTGAATGAAATGTATGGTGGGTCTCAGTCCAGTCCTTGGGGACTGTGCTAAAAGAATCTATCCCAACTTGTTGTTCTTCTACCAGAGCAACAGGCTGCTTTCTACACAGACCTGGCATCTGCAGATAGGTTGGTTAATGGGCCCAGGATCTGGGCTCTGGGCACAGCTGGGAAAACCAACCAAACAAACAAAACTGTCCTACCCCAGTCAGTTAAATGTTTAGAACTGGCCATTAAGTGTTTTGCTTTAACTGACTCCTCAGAAACGTGGTGTGCTCCCAGGATTACCAGCTCTGCTTGCAGCCTACACACTGCTGCAGGGCTGACTGCAGCGGCCTCAGTGTTGGGCTGCCTCATGACGTGTTAAACCCTGGCTCCACTGCCGCCTTTGTGTATTCAAGGACACACTCTGGGTATTCTGTATTTCCTCACATGCTTTGGGATGGATGGCTTGTGTTCTACCCTCAAAACACACGTGTAGGTGCTCTGGTCATGCTCTGGACTCATTCTAGTGTTAAATATGTGCTAGGTCCTTTGTTGAATTGAGGCCTGTCTGAGTACAAGTTCATTGAAATCTCAGGATTGGAGAAATTGTCTCTAAGATTGAAGGTCATCAAATACAGCTAATATGGCAAGTGACAAATGGAATGAGCTGACTTCCTGAATATGGATGACAGTGTCTGTCCCAGGCAGAGCAGAGTGTGACAAATGGAATGAGCTGACTTCCTGAATATGGATGACAGTGTCTGTCCCAGGCAGAGCTAACCTCAGGAGGGTCTGGGTGCTCTGGCATTTAATTGTGGAGTCAAATCACAGCTTTGATGAATGCTCGTTTGGGACAAAATATGGATTTGTCTACAACATACTTCCCTATTAGAAAGACTTCATTACAAACCCTTCAGGCTTTTTAGCTACTCATTAATCATGTGTGAGTACATGAAGGGGAAGCTCAGGCTACAGATAAGGCATTTCAGCTTTTCAGTCACATGCCATAGCCAAAATAATGCAGCAGCAAGGGGAATGTGTGCCAGTTACCTCCTGCCCTCGTGGGTGCTCTTATATTGAGGCAGATGCTTCAGAAAGTCCTGGAAGCAGCACAGTAGGGTCAGTCTTACTGAAACCAGCCCCTGAGGTTATAGTCAAAAATTCAATCTTTCTGTTATTCTTTTAAATAAAAAAATAAACACAGTGAAATCTTTTTATGCCTACCAGTCCCCCATTTCTCCATCTTTCACCAATGCATATAGGGTCATATCACCAAATTAACTGGAGGCTTCTCACTCTTTACAGTATTTATCCTTGCAGGGCCTCTGGAACATAGAGTAGCTGGGGAATTAAGGCCAAGAAGTACTGCCTTAGTAGTTTTGGAAAATTAAGCATTCTCTGCCCATGTGGACACTACCATATATATATTATAATTTGCCCAGAATTGTCAGGCAGCTCTGGATGTCAGATAGCATTTAAAACAAAAAAAAGGTAAGCCTCCCAAGCCCAAATTCTCTGTTATTTTAAGGAGCTGATGTAAATTTCAAATTGACATTGTAGGAGACAGTGCATCCTGTATAAGCCAAAGGGCTCTGGCAACTCACCCGAGTCCTTTTCTGGACCTGATGGGAACTGCCTAACACTTTGGCAGGATGGAAAGAGGCTTTCTGGGCCTCTTGCTTCCCTCAGTTGAAGTGAATCTGGTGATTTTTGGATCCAACAGTTTTGCTTGTATGAACTTGCTTTTTTTTTTTTTTTTTTTTTTTTAAACCTGAATGAGTTGACCAAAATGTTTGATGTATGTTGATCAGTGAGTTTCTTCAACCAGGCATGCATTAAAAAAAAAGGAGGGGAGCCTCAAAGAAAAAGCTTTTTTAAAACTTAAATATAAAACAAGACATCCTTAAGACTGTCCGCAGGAAAAGTTTGTTCAGTACCTAAAAAAAAAAAAAACTTTTAGGTGAAAACACAGGTGAAAAGGTTTCTTTGTTTTGATCCAGAACACATTTTTTTTGTTTGTTTGTTTTACTTTTTAATTGCTAAGTGGCCAGAAATGAGCTCTCTGTTGATGTTGTCTCCCAGCGCTGGTGTTACTGTGCTCTCCAGTCCTGGGAACGCTAGAGGGAGCCTGCTGTAGAAAGCTGAATGCCACATTCAGGGCTGTGGGTGAAGATAATTTAAGATTTTGGGCACTTCTGTCAATGACCTACACTGAGTTGTGGCACAGCTTGATGCTGGAGTTTTTAGAGAGTTAAGAAATCCAAGGTAAAAGATCAGTTTAATTTCCTTGAAGAGAGCAGAATAATATAGGCCTCCTTGTATGATACACTGTGTAATACCCAGACTTGAAAGATACTTAACCACCTGAAGGTAAGGTCAGATATCTCTCAATTTTTTAAAAATCTTAACCTTGGACCTTTAATATGATCAGGAAATATGGGTCTCTAGGGGACAGTCACATTTTCCAAGTGCTGTTTCCTTTGGGTTAAAAGAAGGAGGCAAGTTTCAAACTTGCAAAAAGGTGATTTCCAAGCCTGGAGATGGAGTTACGAGTCTTGCAGACAGACTGTGGCACACTGGGCAGCTCAAAGGGAATGAGGAGGTTTCTTGTCTGCGTGCTTGTAAACTAATTATCAACGGTTTTCAGGGCTGCAGCTGGAGATAATGGAGCTTACTTAGCTCTGCCTCATTTTCTTTAGCTCTGCATAAGAGGGCTCCAGTTCTGTAGCCACTGGTATTAAAAATTCAGGAATCACAGGAGCCTTCCTTGCTGTAAATGTTAATTGCGCCTGTTCAGTCTCATGCTCATGATGCATCTCCTGGATGAGCAAGGGGAGAGGTGCTTGAGTACCCCACTATCCTGCGGAATGACGATGCCAAGAGGGAGCTCTGTTTTTTCTAACACTCCCCCCCTCTTCCCAGGTTCATCCCTGAAGTTGGTGGTGTGTCTTTGCCCACACGTGGAGGTGCTGCATTACTAGGTGATAAAAGTCTCACTAAGGAGGGCATTGACTAGAAGCTGGTCTTTTTAGAAGTTATTTTATCCATGCTTGATAATATCTTTGGACTGGATTAGACTTTTAAAAGGCCAGAGCTAACCAGAGCTTGAAGAGTACTTCACAGCCACAGAACTTTGTGGCTGACCTGATGCAGAAAGGGAGAGAAAATCAAGTCTGTGGCATTATCTTTTCTGTAGTACTGTTTGTTATTGAACATTGCAGGAAGGGAACAGATCCCTTAGAACTAGGATTAGTGTCTCTTTGAAGCAAGGAATGTGCATTTACACTCGTGCACTGTCATGACCCACAGTATCTTGGGCCTGCCATAAGGAGATCTGGTGCCAAAAAGACATGGGTTTTGACCTTGATACATCTCTTCTATCTGAACTTTTCTTCATCCTTTCTTTGCACAGTGCATGCAGGAAGAGAACAGGCCTTCTGCCTATAGCACCACGTGGCTGGCTCAGGATCCTTGAGGTTTTCCCTGCACCAAAAGCCTCACAGAACTATCTGCTCCCATCTTGAACTAGAATGGTGAAAAAAGTTTCCTCTTGGAAAAAGTCTTTTTTTTCGGAAATCCAGAGGGTTAATTTCTGCTCCCTTGCTATCTTTCCCTCTGCTTTTCCTTTATTCTGAACCTTGCTGTATTCTTTTTGCACTGATTTTAGCTGAGGCCTTTTCAGACAGTGTTGACCCCAAGGAGTGGCTGTGAAACGGTGGGCAGCGGTGTTTCCCGAAGCCGTAGGCAGCCCTTTCCTGCCAGCGTGCAGCGCAGCGGGCTTGCCCGGGGCAGCAGAGCGGCGCCTGCTCTGCACATCCCTGAGCTGTGTTCCAGTTTACGCATCAGCTGCCTCTACAGAAAAACTGGCATACATAATCTTAAAACAGGCACCTAAAGATTTTGCATGAAGCAAAGCATATCTGACTAGGGTAGGATTTTATTTCACTGCTCACAGGACTGTTGCAATTTCTTTGTTGTTAGATACGACCTATTATGGAAGAGAGATTAACTCTGTGACTTTCTTAAATGCACACTCTTGCCAACAGGCTGATTTGAACTGAATTCTGCCATGAGCAGGCAGGTACTGAGAAGTTTCCTTCCTTCATTTTCTTTTTTTCTAGATGACTTTGGAGCTGCTATGTTTGTGTAGTGCAAAGTCACTTATAGATTGATTTCCCCCC